ATAATATGGGGTTCATCCATAAATTTTAACCAAAATTTACTAAAACAGCTCTCATTTGAAAACGGTAATAGATATTGATTTCAAACTTTTTGCATATTAATTGTTTTTTTATTACCTTTCCAAAGACATACAATAATATGGGGTTCATCCATAAATTTTGACCAAAATTACTAAAACAGCTCTCATTTGAAAACGATAATAGATATTGATTTCAAACTTTTTGCATATTAATTTTTTTTTATTACCTTTCCAACGACATACAATAATATGGGGTTCATCCATAAATTTTAACCAAAATTTACCCAAACAAAATTTTCATACGAATTTTTCAAATTTTTTCTTTGATTTTTAATAGAAAAACAGGAATAATAAAACGAAAAACTTTTTAATACTTAAATTTTGAGATTTATTATTCCTGTTTTTCTATTAAAAATCAAAGAAAAAATTTGAAAAATTCGTATGAAAATTTTGTTTGGGTAAATTTTGGTTAAAATTTATGGATGAACCCCATATTATTGTATGTTGTTACAAAGGGAATAAAAATACAAGTAACATGCAAAAAGTTTGAAACCAATATCTATTATCGTTTTCAAATAAGAGCTACTTTAGTCAAAAACTTGGGGGCCGCAAAAAATGATGTTCCATACATTGGAAAAAATTTAATTAATGTTAAAGCTAACTGCAAATATAAAGGCTTTCAGCCAAAAAAAGAATCATTGAAAATGGTTGAAAACTGTAAAAGTTGTTCCAATTTACTTTTTTTTAATTTTCTCACAAAGTTTGAACCGGCAAATTAACCGATAAAACCGGTTCAAAATTAATTTAATTAATATATTTTTAAAGATCAAATAAATACCTTTCCAATGATGTATAACATGTTGGCAAAATTTTGAGTTATTGAAAAGATATTTAGTCGACAAGCTTGAAACTGCATGAAAATGTTTTTACGACATATGGGAGATTCTCTATAGGGGAAATCAAAAATTTTCAACTTAAAATTGTTTTTTTGACCGATTTTTCTACTAAAAGATGTTAGGTTTTCAGGTCTTCTGATGTATTTTTCCATTATCTATCTGTTGACTTATTGTAACAACCATTAATTAGCTTAATTCTAGATATATTTTGATTCTTCGATAAAATGCTCCGTGACCGAAAATGGAATTTTACAAAAAATTCAATAGGGGAATCAATATTTATCCATTAAATTCTTATGTTTGCATCATGAAATGCAAATCAAATGGTAGAGTATTATCAGTTCTATAATACTTATGCTTCACATCTAAGGAAAGCAGCTTAATTAAAGAGAATAATCGATTCTCCGAACGTCAACTTTATGTCACGAAGCATCTTTAAGCTTTTATTTTACCGGTCCGTAAAAAAATTACCAGAAAAACGAATCAAAAAAATTAAAATACTGCTCTTATCTTTGATTTTTATGTAAATCTATTAATTAAACTTAATAGAATAATTATTTTTGATGATTTGAGACTGTTTTGATATTTAAACTCAAATGTATTAAAAAGATATTAACCAAAAGATTTTTAACATCCAAACACAAATAACCTTGGATTAAAAAAGCTTATTTTTCAAAATTCCACCATCCTGGAGAATCGCCCATTTACAGTCGAAAGTGTTAAAAGTAAAAAATCGGCCGTAGGTCGAATTTCAAATGCTCATATCTCGGAACTGGCAACTTCACAAAATTTAAAAAAGTTATTTTTCTGGTTTCACAAAATATAAACAACAAAAAGTCAACAGGCATGATCTTCCTGGATGTAGAAAAAGCATTTGACAGAGTCTGGCATAACGGACTCTTGTACAAAATGCTCAAACTGAGATTTCCACTGCCACTTATAAAAACTGTAAGATCTTTCCTCAGTGAAAGATCTTTCGCAGTTTTTATTAAAGGTCAGTTCTCAGAAATCAAGGTAATCAAATTCGGAGTGCCACAAGGAGCAGTGCTTTCACCAACTCTCTACAACATCTTCACGTATGATGTTGTAAGAGAGACAACCAACAACATCGGTCTTTTCGCAGATGATACAGCACTGTATCATTCTGCAGAGAACTCGGCCGATATTGTGACACATCTACAGCACACAGGAAGAAAAGTTCAACAATACATGAACAAATGGAAGATCAACCTCAACAAACAGAAGACTCAAGCCTTATTCATCACAAACAGGCACTCCAGGCAACTACCAGGAAATAACATCAAATTTCTCAACGAAAACATCAAATGGGAAACAGAAGCTAAATATCTGGGAATGGTGATCGACAAGAGAGTGACATTAAAGCCGCATGTGGAGTATGTGACCAATAGGGCTCACACCGCATTAAGACAGCTTTATCCGCTCACCAGCAGGAACTCACAACTCGACGTACGAAACAAACTTCTCATCTACAAGCTAGCCATCAGACCAATATTCACATATGGTTGTCCAGCGTTTGGAAGCATGGCAAAAACCCATCTTCAAAAACTTCAAGTACTGCAAAACAAATTCTTGAGAATTGTTCTCAATAAAACAAGATATGAAAGGATCACCGATCTTCATACAGAAGCAAAAATACCGTCCATCGAAGACTACGTCGGAAAGTTGCAAGCGAACTTCAACAGTCGTCTTGCATCTCAAAACACCGAATAAATCAAATGAAATACAAAAGAAAGTAAAATCCGTAAATGAAATCAAAATTAAGAGACAAAAGGCAAATTGAATGCCTGAAACCTTAAAACAAAAAGCAACAAAATGTATAGAAACTTTGTACATACTTAAATTTAAATGTAAATAAATAAAAAGTTTAATTTAAAAAAAAAAAAAAAAGTTTCACAAAATAGCACAAAAAATCCATATATAGTACATCACTCAGTTCGTTAGGTCACCGTTCTACTTGATTGACACAAATAATATATTGCTGCAATAAAATATATTTAACTTAAAAGCTTAACTACTTATTATATTAAAAAAATTCAATGAACATCTTTTCTTATTATGAAAATGCACTAAAGACCTGAAAATTATAAAGAAAATATACTGTAAAATTTAGAGAAAAATGAATGAAAATTTGTTAATTTTTATTACTTTTGCATCACAGAATTTGAAAAACACAGTTCCGGATGAATATTGATGAACTGTTAATAATTTTATAATTGCATAAATATATAAAGTTTTCTGTTTGGTTCCTCTATTGTTTATTTATTTTATTTTCTTCTTACAGTTTTAATACTTAATTTAAGTAACTTAAACAGTCCAAAACTTAATGTTTTAAACATTAAATGTACATTTTTAGCAAAATATTAGTTTATTTACTATACTCATCATTTATATGATTTTATTATTTAATATTATTTAAGTTCTTTTTTAAACTTAATTAATTGGCACTTAGTTTGACATTCTCAAATTTTATTTTGATTTTAAGGCACATATTTCAATTCTAATTCGATATAATGGGTTTTTTTTTTATTTTATGGTTTGAATAAACTTTGAGCTTAATGAAATTGCTTTTTCCGAATTTTTTAACGCATTTTTGAAACTTGTTTTAAGAAGGTAGCTTAGTAATGCACTTTGTTTGGCTGGCTGTTCGGCTGCTTGCAAAAACTTTTCATCTAGACATCGTAGAGATTTCTAGTTTTTCGCGTTAGCTCGGTTTTATCTAGTTACTGGCGCATCAATTAGTTTGAAAGCTCAAAACCATCTTTAAATACTATAATTTATAATTTTTTGTTTCTCAGTACAATTCAAACAACAATAAGCATTCATTGTAATTATTTGTTAATTACATTAAAATGAATGATCTTCTAATCTTCTAATGATCTGTAAATGAACGCAAAATAATTACATGATCAAATACTGATCGCTAACACAAAAATGCGCTGAAGTCCCTCGACATATAACACGAGGACTTTCGCCAATTTTTTATTTCAAGAATGAAATAAATAATAATTAGCAAAAAATTTTAATTTTGTACAAGATTTATTGTCAGGTAGAATAAAGAATATTGCTTGTATCCTTATTATACATTTCTTTTGACTGTTTTATACTGTTTTTTTGTACAATATTTACACATGTATTTTTTAAATTTATAATAAAACATGAAAATTTAATTTTCAATGCTACGAAATTGATGTTTTAAAATTGATGAGTTTAAGGCTTTGTATATGGCACCAGTGTGAGAGTAAATTGTTAAAATCTTTTTGAAATTATTAAATAAGAAAAGTATCCCACGTAACCATAAGTCGACGAATGAAAGATTCTATGTAGCACATTAAAGTCTTCCATGTATGATCTGGTATGTTCTTTCCAAAATGTACATTTCATGTATATACCGTTTGAAATAGTTTAAGTACTTTTCAGGCGGTTTTTTCTTTTACAAATGTAGTAAAATATAATAAAAATAATAATAATTATAATTATATGTTAATATGAAAAGGGCCTTTTTTTTAACCATAGAATTTAATAAATTAATTACACTTTATAGAAAATTTGGCTGTGCCTTATATAAGTTATTTCTGATTCCAATGCTCAAGCGATTATGGTTACGTAGGATTTTACATTTCAATGTACTTTTAAAGGAGACAATTCTTATTAGTATTTAAAATATTATAAAAATTTAAAAAAGTTATAATATTTTTTAGAGTTAATATTTTTTTAAATAATGAATTTGTTTTTTGATAACTAATCAAATATTCATAATTCTAAAATTACAAAAAATTATTTGTTATTAACACCTGTGAATCATTTATTACAATAAATTTTCATGTATTATTTTGAATTTTAATTGTAACAAAAAAATATCATCCATAAATACAGAAACCTGCTCAATAGATTTTATTCAAAAAAAAAAAATTTCAAAATTTAATTGAGTGTTTTTTAATTAACTATTGGTTTAGACATTAATTGTGTTATATTGATTGTTTTGATTGTATTGATAAATTTTCATTTTTATGTGTCAGACTGTTTCAATTTTTTCTCTCAAAGATTTTTTTTACAAATACTTATTATTTAAAAACTTCTTATCACAATTTTGATTTCTAGTATTACATCGATTACTTTTAAGAATAACTTACATATATCTCTATCATTACTGCACACATTATGTTATATGTTTATTCTTACACTATTATTTGCAAATGATACTGTTTGCGTAAATCACCTTCCTGACGTAGCCATTTTTCAACAATTTTACAATTGATGTTCAATTTTTTGGCAACCAACTTTTCATTACGTTCACAATCAGCATCATTGTAGTAACAATCGAGAGTATGCAATTTAAACTTCAAATCATGAAGTAATGATGGCGATAATGGCACTTTTGTTTCAGTAGCTATTGGAGACATAGTGGAAATTGAAAATGATGGCGACGAAGTTTCATAGTGGCTTGATGTATACAGCGGACTATTTCCTTGGATCAAATCTACTTCATTGTCATTAAAGCTATACATTGACGATGTTGAACTATCATATCCCGATACAGGTGACGCTTGAGATAGTAATATATGATAGTTAGAGTTTATCATTATTCCACTATCATTAGGTGATGATAGCGATGATGTTGCAGGAGGAAATTTTGAGACATTTTGAGAATCTGCACGAAAGATTGGTTGCGAACATGTCATTAGAAAGGGCTGATAATCTGATCCCGATATATTGTGTTGGGGATAAAAATTATAATTATTACTCCAAATCATGGGAAATTTTTCAGAATCATCTTGTTTTAATTTCTTACTTTTGTCTATATCCTTTTCAAAATTACTTTCAAGATATGGACGAAATAGTTTGAGTGGCTTATCTTTTTTATTATCATCTGTGACATGTTTACGTTTTTGCGATATATTTGTGGTGCTAAGATCAATTGGATCAACTAAATCTGTTTTTAATAAAGAGTTCGATATGTCCGTTATTTGTGGAGATGAAAAAGTTTGGTACTGATAATGCAATGAATTTTTATTAGATGAAAAATCTGTATCATAGATGTAGAACGGAATTTTATAGTGAGATGATGAAGGGTGTATAGGGATGGGACGAGCAACGTTTTCAATTTTAACTTTTGTATGATTACATGAAAGGTCTATTGGATAGTCATCAACAATACTATTTTTATAATTATTTGTTACAAGCGAATCATTATCGTAACAAAAATTATTGTTTAAGACCACATGTTTACTTGCTTCTAATGCCGTCGTTGTATTATTGCTGGTACTTCTTGATGTAAATTCACCGAACGACGATGATACTGATGACAAATTTTTTGTCGACAAAGATTCATCGTTACTTGCTTTAAAATTTTTCACATTAGCAAGAGAGAAACAACTATATGTTGCACCATTTTTGTCTGTATTGACGACTCCGCGTTGTCTAGAATTCGTCGATGATGATAAAATGGGAGCTGTTCCTTTCGGAAATAATTTCATTTGATTACTTCGAACATTTTCAGGATTATTTGCAATAATTGACCGCAAATTATTCTCACATTGAAGCCATTTTTGAATTTGTCTTCTGTGAATACCATACTTTCGAGCAGTTGCTCTTTGATTGCCTTTACAATCATTATCGTTGCGATATGATTCTAATACCTGTAGTTTGAATTGTGGTGTAAAAATACGTCTTGATCCCATTTTTGTTCCTGTAGTAGTTTTCAGAGATTTTGTGATCGTTGATGTTGGTTTTGTCGATGAAGTAATGATAGACATTGAAGCGCCACTACTATTCAAATTAAATTTATTGCCGCTGCTATTTTTCATCAACGACGATAACTGCGATTGTGGTAGTGACTTTTGTGTTGAAGCTAACAAATTTGTATTTGTTGTAGAGGAATTTTTCAGGTTCAATAAATTTTGATTTGATGAACTTAAGCTCATATTGTCCCGTAGAACACTGTTAAGTGCTAAATTGCTGTTACAAACATTATATCCATTCGGTTGATGATCATTATTGGACTCTAACGCGTCTTGTTTATCAATTAAATTACTTTTGATTTCGAGCGCCATGTTATGTATGGATAAGAACACATACAGTTGCAGTTTTAATTTTTACTCACAATTTCACTCTTGATATATTTTTGATTCTTTTATTTTTAATTACTCAATTATTAACAAATGTTGTTAACGAGGTACTATATTTTTAATTTAATTTTGGTATGACAATTATAATTGGCAAAAAAAGTTCAACTCAAATAATATTAACTCAGACACGAACATCAATTAAATAACAAAATCAAAAGATTTAAATTGTTTACACATTTTTTAATCTATTGCATTTTTCGCTTTCTTAAATTCTTTATCTTTTGTGTATTAACTGTTTATATAAAATGAAGTGATTCCTCGAATTAATGAATCATTGAGCAGCAGTTCACACACGAGAAGTTTTTTTCACACTGAAGCATATTTTCTATTTCAATTTTACTTTATTCAAACTTTTAAAATAAAATCTATAGTGTGGCACTGCTCTTACCTATTGGAGCTTTCTTACAGACGTCAGACTGTAGGAATGGGATACACAATATAATGCGATTTCTCTGCACAGGTTGAAGACATATCGGCAACAGTTCTCTCACACACTTGAAAAATGTGAAGGGAACAAAGAAAAATTGAGTCAGGTATTTCTTTTTTTTTTCATGATCCAAACAAACTATGAAGCATTTAAAAATGCATAAATAATTTCAATTAATCAAAACATTTAACGTGCATTTCACAATTAAATCATTGATAAACTACTTGAAGTTCTGAAAAAAAATGTATTTCAAAATGTACTTTATTGACTTTTTTTTTTAAAGGTTGCATTAGTCCTTAAAAATACTTTGAAATTGTATGGAAAGCAAATTTAAAAAAGCAATAAGTATTGATGAATATAAAAATATGACACATTATATATTTTTAATATTACAATTTACATTATTAATTATTGGAATAGAGTTTTAGTGCAAATATTAGTGTACGTGAGTTTTAAGGATCCAATTTCATAGGAATGGAAAATTTTCAAGGTAAATGAGCGCTTGAATTTCAAAATCCGAAAATATTTTATTTATTATATTTTATTTATACACATTTTGTGTTCAACACGATTCCCACCAGACATGCCGTCGCCAGCGTTATTTCTTTTTAAAAGCAAACACATACTACATCATATTTGTACGATTCTCTTTTTTATGTGAATTTCAAGAAATTTTTTTCTCCATTATATTCTGTCTGTGTGTTTTCATACTGCCTTTAGATCTACACAAAAATACTAATACATATGTATGGTTTGACCTGAGAATGAAATAAGAAACATTTTTATTTAATTCTTCTTTTTTCCTCGCTTATCGTTTGGACTGATGTGTGCCTTTTTGCTATACAAGTTCTTTCAGACTTCTTGTCGACTGTATTTTTTCTTTCTTCAAACGAAAAAAAAAAATCGAATTCTCAAATTTTATTCTTTTTAAATATTTTTTTCAATGACTTCGTTTTCTTCTTTCTTCTCTTCTTATATATGTATCTTACTCATCATTGTTTGGCATTATATTTTCAAAAATAAAAATTGATTTTAATTCTTTTTCATTATGAAGAAGACGCTTTTAGTTAAATGCTTGATGGTAGATAATAGATTTTTCTAATTAAAGAGAAGTAGAGTTTAATATGAAAATAAATGTACAAAAGTTTCTTTTTACTTTTTAAAGCATTTTTATTGTTATCAGTTAAAAATGTTTTGTTTTACATTATAATCATATTCTGTCAATATATTGATAAGCAAGCTTGTCAATTTTTTTTTAAATTGATACCGTCTGTCATTATGCATACACAATGTATACGTGCACATTTACTCTTGGTTTCGTCAACTCTATTTTTAACTCACATCACACGTTCATTTTAAGCAACAAAAAAGTAAAATCGTTGAATAAATAAAAATAAGAATAAGTATTTTCGAATGGTTAGCTAATTTTCAATTATTATCACACAATTTTTTTTTTAAATTATAGAATTTCATGACTAATGTTTTTAAACGCAAGTATTAATAATAACAATAATAAAAAATAAATTTTAGGGGACGTTTGACGTTCCGATTGATAATATTTGGTTTAATTTCTTAATTAGCTACTTTCTAAAGTTTGTAAATTAACGAAATATTTTTTTGCAATTTAAGGATTTAGAAGATTTTCAATCACGACTCGTTGAATTTTAAGTAAAATTTTCACTGAATTAATTAATGTTATTATGTATATGAATAATTTAATGAAGTTTGACAAATTGTAAAAACTAATGAAGGGCTCCCGCAGATTATGATCTTTAATTAATCCCAAAGATTATAATCTTCGTTTTTAAGAGATAACAATTTGCCGGATCCTTGAAATAATGTGAGGTATAGTTGTTTAGTGGCAGAATGGTTTATTACTTTGGGATCTGACTGTTGCAAATCAGGTAAAACAGGACAACTGTACCTTATCTTTCCAATACCCGAAAATTTAGTTTCGAAAAATTAAAGTTCTTTACATTTTTATTTGAAATTTTATTTCATAAATGCACACATTTTCTGTTGTATGAAGTCGCCAATGTGTCTGGTTTGCTTCGTTCTTGTTTTCTTTCTTGACTTCTATTTATTAAGTATAAAAACAACTTATATGCTTCTATGTATTTAATTTTTTTTCTTCAATTTAAAAAAAAACCTTCTTGAGAAGCAATGGGCTTATTTGTCCAATTTTGCTGTCTCAAAACTGGAAGCACTTGGAGATTTATTTTCAGATTTTTGTATTCGATAGCTGCTATATGATATTGTCGACGATCGTTTATTTGTTTTTCTCAATTCCTGAAATAGGGCTGAAGGCGAAGCCGTGGGGTAAAGCTATTTTTTTTTAAAAAAAAGTTATTGATGATTATTTAAAGATTGACATTTTCTGAATAAATTTATAATTAAAAAGCCAAGAATATGAGATATTTTTTTCGTCTCAAAGTGCAGATCATTATGTCAAAATTTGTGTACATTTTAAATGTGATATGCTCCAATACTTCAATGAAACCTTCAAAACTAAAAGAATACTCTTAAATGTATTTGTGTGTCTGTAAAATCTTCGATTTATCTTCAAATTAATCTTCTGGAATGCTTTAAAAACTTCGTTAATATCCACAGCACATACAGCAACATAGCACATTATATATAAGACTTCTTTCTTTTTTTTCTTCACTTTTTTCAATTCCTTCTTTCTGCAAATTTCTTAGAAAAAAATATTCTTTAATTTTTTTATGCCTTTTGTTTCATCATTCTTTATAATAATTTTTAAATTCTTGAGTTTTTTGATTTTTAACTTTCACGTAGTTTTCATATTGGACAGACCTTGAAAACCTTTTTAGCGCATTTTTGAAACTTTTAATATTACACTTTGTTCGTTCGTTCGTTCGGGACCAGAAAATTTTTTTAACCAGATATCGAAAAGAGCTCGGGATTGTTTTATTAGCTCCGTTACTATCGATTTATCAGCCCATTGAACAGTTGAAAGACTTAAAACAGTGTGTAAATACTATAATTAATTTTTTTTTAATTTCAATTTAGTGCAACCTGTAGAAATTTTTCTTCATAGAGTGTAATGAGTTCAAATTTTTGACTACTTCTTTAATTTCAAATTTGGAAAAGTAGTTAATATTTGAGTTTCAAAAATCGTTAACTGTTAAAACTAGTGTATCGGGAAGAAACCCAATGCGGATATATTCACACCGTACCATCAAAAGTCTTATGGATAGACCATGATTTGCTCAGCATAAGTTTGAAGGTATAAAGCTGGCGAGTCAGCTGAGCTTCGCTGAGCTGGCAAGTATGACGAACTTTTAAGTTTTTATAAGCCTTTATCACTTTAAATAATATTATTAACATATTTTCACTGTATTTTTTCAAGAAATTAATTAATATTTTTCAGTTTTGGTATTTTTGCCTATGTTGGTTGCCGTTTTGTATGCTTTTTTGGTCACTCAAATGGCTATGACTTTTTACAGGGTCAATATTTTGGCATTCTGTTTTCAGTTAACTATAGGAGTAGTCGTTTAACTGTGACCGACCCTAGCTTTACCTAGGAAAAATAGTCAAAAAATTAAATTTCTTGATGGAAAATACCTAAACTAAAGTTTTTCTTATCTTAAGTATCATAAATTATACTTAAAAATCAAAAAAACTATTTTAAAATAGTTTTAAACTTGAGTTTAGCTGACTTTATGGAGACTACCAAGGTACTAGTCAAAATAGCGTCGGTCACAAGCAATGGCAATATTTGAGGCAAAGACTAGACTTTATTGTAAAGTGTTGCATATCGTTTATAATATAATAATAAATGTTAATCATAATGATTTTTGAGAAATAAATTTTTTAGGAATTTATATTTTTACCCAACTTTGATTGACTATAACTCCAAAAGTAGCAATCTCTGGGTATAATGAGATACCAATTTAGAAAGATGGAGGGTTGGACAATTTAAAAAGGGTAAATTTATTAGGCCAGATGATCTGGCCCAGATCTTAATACAGGTAGTTTGCTGCAGTCACGAACTTTTGTAGAGTGATTTTCCCCTATTTTTTTCATACTAAATCAGTCACTACTGAAGCAGATCGACCAAAAAACTTGAAATTTGGATCTCATCTTGTATGAATGTCAGCTTTACAATGAGACATCCCCGAAGACTTATGGTGAAATATTCCAAAAAGTGATCGATTGCTAGGGTGACCATCTAATTTTTACGAAAATACAGGACATTTGATAAATTTCCTAAAAAATACAGGACACAATGGAAAATTTGAAAATTAACGGAAATTTTCGTGAAAAAAATACAGGACCAGGAACAAAATTTTCAAATTTAAACAGGACAGGGTTTTGAAATACTGGACTGTCCGTTATAAAACTACGCAGATGGTCACCCTATCGATTGCTGCTTTTTTTTGTTGAAAATAGACCAGTTTGGGATGCTGAAGAAAATTTGATTTTTGTCTAAAGAATTTCTCATTAATTAAAGCATAAAAAGATATTATTTATAAGTTATTTGCAATGATTTTAATGAAGTACAACAGCTGAAAAGGATATATCCTTATATATATATACATATATATATATATATATAAGGTAAATTTTCTGAAAATCAAA